GGGAGCCAACGGGAGCCGACGGGAGCCAACGGGAGCCAACGGGAGCCAATGGGAGCCAACGGGAGCATGCACGGTCGCCTCTGCCCCTCACAGTAGCGCTTCAGCAGCCCGGGCACTACTGCACAGTTCAGGCACTGCAGGTTTCTAATCTGCTTATTTATAATTCAAAAGCTTGCCCATATATTAATGAACCCTTAATGAGCTGTTGAAAATGCCTGAATTACAGTCAGATTATTAAACTCCAACGGCCCCTGTAATCATACCATTTGAGTGGGCTTTAGGTACTTTTCATATCTGCAGATTTGTATTGTGAAGGAGATGGGTTTATTCGAAGAAAGCTTTGTAATAATTTTGACCTGCAATTTATTTATTGGCCTCTGAATGCAGTAGTCTATGCAGATGCTCTCGCCTATTATGCGTGGGGGCAGGTGCACAGCGTGCTGAAAGACAGCTAATTAGGATTTGCCGAGAGATATGCTAAAACTGTGGTCTTCCAACAAAGCCAAGTTCATCGTTAAACAATGTTTTAGTGTCTGTTTATGTGATTTGTCTAAATCATCGAGATACTGAAATGAACGTTGTAGCTATAAGCAGATTAAAATCACCAGCACACATGATTTTATTAACTTATACGGTGCTTTTGTCACCAAGGAGACTAGATCTTAACTAGTGGCGGAGCCAAGGTGCAGAGCTGTGAGCGCGCGGGCCGGCCGCGGGGCCTGGGCTGCACCCCGTTGTGCTGCGCGCAGGAAGGGCACTGAGCTAAACAGCGATCAACTCCGGGGGGATGTACTGAGGAGTAAAGAGGGAATAGCCACCGAGTGTGAGCTTATATGGCAAAAAATACATATCTTATGGGTGTATTCAAACACGGAGTTGTTTATAAAGGCCGGTGCGGGTGGCGGGAGGCTCCCCGCGTCCCCGCGGCTCCTCGGCGGTTCCGACCCCGCGGCGCTGCAGCCCGAACGTCGGCTTCATCCTCCCTAGAATCAGCTAATCACCGTGGGGCTTTGCCGCTGCAGAGACCCGTGTGTCCCACTCGGGGCAAAGCGAACGTGAGCTCCCTGTGTGCGGGCGCATGCACGGGAGGTCTCCATGTGTCCTCCTGCACGCGAGCTCCCGGCGCTCCTGCAGCCGCCGCAGCCCTTGCCCGCACGCGGCCGCTCTGCTTCGCCGCGGACCGGGCACTCCGGCCCGTGCCAATCCACAGGACACCCTCGTGGCTCTGCCCTTGTCCCTATCAACCCAGCTCCCTCCTCCTCAGCATCACCCTTCACACCTAACCCCACCGGATCTGTGCTGTCCTTTGTCAGAGCTGCACCAGGAGGGTTGGGGATGCTGAGCAGTAGTTGAAGCCTGGATGGATAGTGTGATTTTGAGCAAAACCCTTTAATCTTTGGCCAGTACACAAGAGTAAATGATCTAGAAATCACAGCAAATGTACCAAATTATTCCGCTGCAGATTTTGGCCTGGCATCTCCTAGCATCAGGGGAGATGAGTGGGAGCAGTGCTATGATACTGGAAGGGTGAATGACTGTCGTGGCGGAAACACAGCTGGAGAAACAGCTGGAACAGAGCGCAGGAAAGCGGGACTGAGAGACAGTCCAGAAGCAAAGCGAAGAAATCACAACAGAAACCGTCCGTGAGAAGGAGACAGGGAGGATTAAAAGCAGAGTGCTGTTAAACACCCCGGAAAGCAGAGGCGAGGAGGGGTGAGGTAAAGGGCGTCGATGTGGCCCTCAGGCCAGCACTCGCCTACGGCCGACGCGCCGCGTGGCCAAACCGCGTTCGGCTCGGAACCTCTGAGCGGGCAACAGAAATCGTTTAAAGAGATGATGAGACATTTTTATTATTCCCATGAAATTATATGGAATTATATTTTTAAGTGGAGGAGACAGGTTTAAACCGTGTATTTGCGAGCGAGGTTGCTGCCGTGGCGGCCCCGGCGCCCGGCCCCGCGCGGTGCCCGCGCAGCCGCCGCGCCCC